ATTTTAAATTGCGTGTGTCGTAATGGTCAGAACTAAATTATTTGAGAATTAGGGGAGGAATTTGAAAATTACTGAGGTTGATGAGAAATAAAAATCCCACGTTTTGCGAACAATAAATCATGCCAATGGCAAAATGAAGCTGAAAAATTCGATTAATCTTAGCAGTTTTCAATTTTCCGAGTGCACAGCCAGGTATTTGATTATGTAACCGTCTTATTGAGCATTATTGAGGAAAATTCAATTCCCCAATCATCAATTTGTATAAAGAAGCATGAAAGATGCCCAATGTAATGGAAAATTTTGGATCCTTTCTTTTGTTTTTCTTCGGAATAGAATTTAAATTGCTATCTTAAACGTGTGGTTTTGATATGAAAATGAGATATATGATATTAAATTGGATTCGATGAGGTTTTTTTTTATTAAGATTGAAAAAATTCAAACTTTTTTTCGAAATAAAATGTAAACAATAAACTTTTTCACTTAAATTTTCAAAATTAAACACAATATGAAACTTATTGCTCAACTTTATGGATTAAATTGTATTTCTGCCACTTTTTTCTAACATTTCCAATGCTTTAAATCAAATTTTGTATTAAAATAAGCTTAGATTTAAGGAAATAAATTTCGAAGTGGAAAACCAGACTCAAATACTTTTCAAATCACCATTTTAAAACGCTAGACTTCCGTAGACAACAAAGAAACCTTCCCAAAATCTTCCTCAAACAAAATTCTTCAGAATTTGTCATTCTTGTCAAAAGCAGCAACACATCAGCAGAAATGAATACAAAAGTACATTTTACGTAGAAAAGCGCTAAGAAAATCTTAAGAATTCAATGTGAAAATAAAGCATGAGATTATTGATTGCTGTCTGAGACGGTAGACAAACTTTTTATGACTCTGTTTTTTGCTGTTCTATCCACTTTCAATCCAAAAGAGCTCTCCACTGCAAATAAAATAAAGTAAGAATAAAAAGATGATAATTTTTCTTTCTCTCGACAAGCTATAAATCGAGTAAAATATCTTGAATGTCGAATTGTCGAGAATAATTGCAAAACATTCAACTTGCTCTTCTTTATCTTGCTCTTATCATTTGATAGTATAAATAACAAGACAAGAAAAGCAAGAAGACATGGGAAAAGAATGTCAGAAATTTAAGGAATTTATTTTTTTTTAAATATTTTATGTCCGAAACATAATCGCAAATTTATGAAGGAAGTAAGAATATTTTTTCATGTGGTAAATTGTTCGATGTGGTTGTTCAGGGGTGTCTAAGGGGAGGGGGGCAAGTCGACTCAGCAGAATTATCACTTTTTAACTGAAAGCTGAAATACAAAACTACTTCTGACCCGAAAAACCCAAAACATAAAGTTATGGACCCACTTTCATCTCTCCCACCATAACCTCAAAATACTTCTGGCTATGCTCTTTTGGTAACATCAACGGATATCCAGCAATTTCACATTTTATGAATGAAACAACCCTCCTTAAATGTGAATTGTAATTAAATGTGTTTATATATAGCAATTGGGGTTATTATTGTGTGTGTACGTCTGCTGCCAAAATATACATCTCACAAAATATTTATCTGCTCTCAGTTTTTATGACCTGATCGTTAGCGTTCTGTTATTTTTCATTCGCAATAATAGGAATGAATAGAAAAAGTACTTTCCAAAACCCATTGAGCCATTACAAAGCTTAAAAAGAGAGAAGCAATTAAAATGAATCAATTTACGAGTTCTGACTATATTTCCTTTATGCTCGTGTCTATACTTTTGTGTAAATTAGACATACAAAGACTTTATTGGATGCCATGTGAGTATTTATTTTGCAGAAATCCAATATGACAATTTAAAAGTTTTTTTTCTCCGAAAAATTACAATCATAAACGAAACACAGATATATGCTTTCCAATTTTCCATATCGCAGTCACTAAATTGGCAATAAAAATGCTTCATGTTACAGAATCAGACAGGGTTGTCGACAAAACAATCCTCAGAATTAAAAATAAATGTTAGCTTAACTTATTTTGGTATGGTTTCTTATAAGGAGACCAGGAAATACTAGGTTTGGTCAATTAAAGTCCATTTAGATCTACCAAATCATATCACAACCCTGCGAGCCAACATATGGAGTATTAAAGCCATAGAAAATATAAAAATTCTTCATCCAAATGTAAAGCTTAAATTGGAGATATCAGGACAAGAAAAAAGAGGAGTTTGGCAAATGGATTACACGCGAGAATGAATGAATATATGCAGAAGATTGAGTAAACAGTGCAATGATTGTGGTTCAGAAAAAATATGTCACATATTTGTCATGTGAATATATTCAATGAATTAAATTTATTTGCATTTTTAAATGATATTTTATTGATTGAATAATACCCGAATGAGCACTGATGCTGAAAACGAGTGAGATGATATTTATGATAAAAACGAACGTACATGGATGTAACAGATTGAATTCACTTTATCATTGCTCTGCGGCATTTTTACCAATCATTCCCACAAAAACTTTTTCGCCTTTACAACATTCAGTTCCATACGTCGAATATATAAAAAAAAAATTCATTTTTTCCCAGGGAAATTTTCTTCATTTTCGAGGAAATCAAGGACGTGTGGAGAAGAATCGAAATAAATTTCTTTTTATGCCATGCAATTTCATGTCCTGATTTGTGCCATATACTCTTTGTTGTGTCTATTTCTGCAAACATTAATCATATAAAAGAGAAAGCAATGAAAAAACTTTGTCCTGACAGTTTCATTTGTGCTTTGTGGTTCGGAAATATTTTTATACTTCCATTCTCATATTGAATAAAATAAAATAATAAAAAAAGAAAATTGAAGAACAAAGGAACGAACGTGTAGGGAAGCATGAGAAGTAAAACTATCAAATTCATAACAATAAATTTTATTTCATATTTTCTGCTGCTGCCTCCATACAATGCTGTGTGAAGATCACGGTGAATTTTTCTTCTTTTTATTTCAATTCAGCCAGTGGCTTCCGTTTGCTATTTTCCCTACTCCACATGAAGCTTCTTTGAATGTTAACAACTAACTTTTCACTTTGAGTGAAAATGATGTTCATTTATAATAAATAATATGAGTGAGAGAGGGAAATAAAAGAGATACGATGATGTGTAGTCGAGAGTTGATGACGGCATGCTGCAGACTTGTAATGCGCATCAAGTCATCACAGCTAAAAAGCGGCATTAATCATCAATGAGGAAGAAATATGATGCGATTCTTTCGTTTTATGATTGAATAAACGTTTGTGGCAGGGCTGATATTGTGTGAATTGAATGTTTATGCTTAGGGTAGACTTGATTTCAATTGATTTTATTTAAAGATTGTAAATTAGAATTTCTGAAAATTTATAAAAAAATTTTTTCTTCACCTCAAAATTTTGAAACTTAATTTTGACTCGAATTTACAATGTTTTACTATCCATTTAGCTTTAAATGATCAGTTAAGAGTGAGCAAAGCTAATAATATCATAATCTACACACAATTCAGTCTACTTTAGTCTAAAAATGCAAAATTCTCAAAATTTCGATGCTCAAAAATTTGAAATAAAACTGAATCAAAAGTGCGGGAAGATTCAAACACTCAAAAAACCGTTAAAGCATTTGTCTATAAATATTGATTCTAATCACGACTTAAATCATTTGATATCCCGTGGCGCACACATTGAATAATAATTTTCCCCTCTAATTGCCTGTCATATTATGAATTGCTAGAATTAGAACCAACCCTGTCAAAAACAACTTTAAATGTACTTAATGTCTTGCACAAAACGATGAACAAAATGAAATTTAATATAAAAAAAGACGAGAAGTGTATGGAAAACTCATGAATTTTTATTTAACCGTCAGGACATTCGACTACAAGCAAAGTATCCATAAATCATCATTATTTTTTTATGACAAAATTGTGTACAAGGATTCTCACTCTCTTTTTCATTCGTACGTATGTACATGTATCTCAGCATACACACGCTTCCCCGTTTTATTATTTCTTCATCATTTCATTCATGTGCAATCGCAATGTCTCTGACATGGGCCATAAAAATCTCTAAAACACATTCACGGCTGGAAACCAATTCTTTTTTTTCTGGGATCGAATTTCAGTTATGCTCTATTTTTTTTTCTCTCCCCTTTTACTGTGCTGTAAATGCATCTAAATGTCAATTTGACTTTGAAAATTATTTCATTTTGGCCGATAGGATTACAAGGAAGTAAAAGTCATAAATAGTCTGGCTTTAAAAATATTTATTTTTGCAACAATCCTTATTGACAGGCATTGAAAGCCTGCAGATAGGAAGGGAAAAAAAATCAATAACATTTTTTTTACATAATTCTACAATCAATTTTCCCTCCACTCTACATCCTCTTTCTCGTCATAGATACGAAAATAATATTTTTGCTGCTGCCGCGGCATATAACTATGCCTGAAAAATAACTTAATATCATAAAATTAAATTTTTCAATTTATAAAACGAATTAAATGAACTTTCAACTAATTTACAAAGTTTATTTTTCATCGAGTTTGCATAAACAATTGGATATGCAGTTTTAATTTAGTTTGTGTGTACATTCCACTTGAAATTCTTCCATTCCTCACCGTCCTCGATGTTAATTTTTTGCAATGTTTACGGAGTATGATGAATTTACCGTCTGTATTATCATAATGAATATTTGCTTATGTGACAGTGTTGTTGACTTGGATGCTTTGGTCTAAATAGAGCTCATAGATGCTAGTTGCGACTTTATCTTTACTATCAAATACTGTTGTCAGATGTTTGTTGGTCTAGATGTTGATTTTTGGAATTTAACTAGCTCACATCTTTCAGAACTAAGATGCCTTCAAACAAGTGTCATAAACAAGCAGAATTTATATCCATCTAGTCAATGAAAAAGCAAAGTCAACAACACTGCAATAAGTCTGAAAATCACACTGTTTAACACATTTTATCTTGTTCTTTATTCCAATTTCATGTAGAAACTATTGTAAATGAACATCCTGTGACAATCTATCCTGGACCATTACCACAAAAGCGTGTTCCACCTCGAACGTTGCCCGGCTCAATCGAGCGACATCGAGATGTTTGCCGTAAAAACCCTTCATCGGATTTATCATCGTCATCATCACAAGAACTTAAATCGCCCATTAAAGAGCTTACATCGCCAATGAAATCGAATAATAATTGTTTCATTTTGGAAAATGATGATTTTATAAAGCGACCAAAATCCCCATCGTCCATTGGAAACTCACCGACTGCCGCAACTCCACTTGGAATAAAAATAAGCATTCAAACGATGGATAATCTAATGAACAACCGCAATATAATGAAAATGGAACAGAAAATGAACATGAAAAATAATAATAAACGAAATAGTCAATTGAGTGATAACGACAATGTTGTAGATGATGACGATGAGGATAAATTTTCGGATGATTCACTAGAGGATACGAGTTTGCCACCACCTGCACCACCACCAATTGTTGTGCCACCACCACCTAGTCTCTCAGCTCCTGTAACGCCAAGTAAACGTCACAGTATCGCATGGGAAGTTAATCTAGATGATTTATGTTCAAATGGCAATGGCATTAGCACGAAGGTAAGAATAATAATAATTTTTTTTTTCGTTATCATTTCTCATTTTATAAATTCAATCTTATCTGTCTCTCCGTCTCTGTATGTGAATGTCATAGAAATTGTGCAGATTTTTCAATCTATTTTTATATCTCACGGTAACGTTCCATGAAAGCTTCAAGTGGAAGCTTAATTTTGTTTATTGGCACTGTAACACTTCCCCATCGTTGTTTCAATTCTATTCAAAGGCAGGAATAAAATAAAAGTACGGGGATCGTTCATAAATGACGTCTAGAATTAAAAACGAGGTTAAGAGGGATTTAGGTTGTGTTAAGTCTATCATACAAATCTGAGAGCAGGTTGAGAGGAGTCAGAAAACAAAAATATCATAAAGACGTCATTTACGAACGACCCCGAATAGAAACTTTCTTCCTTTTTTTCATTTCGAAAAAAAAGTATGCAAAAAAACTTTTGCAGTCTCATGAAATATTCAAAAAGCTTTCCATCTCTCTTCCTTCATCTACTCAGCTTTTTGGAATCTACTTCTCCATGCCATTACGTCGACCAATGTAATTTTAGTAACTCTTGCATGCTGAAAGTTTTCATTTTGTACTGAAATAAATTTACATTAAGCATGCGAGATGGTCGTTATCCAGAATGTTTTGTTGCATATTGGCTTTAACTTGAATTCTATCTGCAAGGAAATTTATTATACAAGCAGACACTCCATGAGTAATTTGAGCTTTTTTTTTCGAGCGAGAAAATTAAATTTATTGGTATTAAATGGAAAATCTAATTTAAGCTGTAAAATGAGAGAAATGAAATCACTGGAAGTAATTTAATAATTTTGAGAATTTATTTTCATAATGTTCACACCCTTTTGGGGGGGTTCTAGGTTTCAAACATTGAATTTTTATGATAAAATCTGTCATTTTAGAAGTTTGCAAATCCAAAGTTCCTCTAGATCCACTCCTGGGTAACTATTGTGCCCCTGCACATGCACACCTGTCAACAAAATTAAATATTAACACAGATTAAGTGATAAACAAACGCAAGTTTTGTCGTATTTATATCCATTAAGTTAGCATGCTCTTGAAATTATGGTAATGCGTAAATCTTGTAGAATAAAACAGCATCTGATACACATTTTTATATATTGCGCAATATTATTAAAACTAGTAATGCGTAATGTTTATTACTCCAGTAATTTCCCTCCTTTTCAATGCCATTGCTTGCCTGACTGCTTAGATTGAAACATATATTGCTGTATTTTCTCTCAATATGCTATAAAGTTAACATCTCATAAACATCCTTTAATGCCATATTTATAGCATAGCATCTTTAAAAGGGCTTGCGGCTTTGAATCATGGAAAACTTCTCACGTGCAATAAATGAATTTAAAGATGATTAAAAATTAACAAGAAACTTTTACTGTAGCTTTACATATTTTCCATCCTTAATATTCACATGTAAAAAGTTTCTTAATTTTTGTTTAATTATAAGTTTTTTGTCGGAAGGAGTGTGCACTTGAGGAGAAATTTAATACGTATAACTTTTTTTTTGGATGGGATTACTCGACACTTTCTCTCTCTTGCCCTGGGAAATAGCCTTCAGATTGCTCTCGCACATGCTATCATTTTTCATCGAAAGTCAATAAAGACGGAGGGAGTGTGGATGATGTTCTTAAAGAATCAAACATTGTTTTGGGATTATTGACTTTATTGAGACAGCTGTAAATTATTTTGCAGTTATTGCACTTGTTCTTTTGGGAAGTTTTATGTCTTGTTGTGTATTTAATGATGCAATGAGGATAGAAATAAATTTTAGTATCTAAATGTCTAGCATCTTACGCCTTAAGATACTTAATAGAGATTGGTTAAACTAGTCTGAAGGCTAGCTTTATAACCGAAGAAACCAAAACATGCGTCTGTTCCACGGTTTAGATTGTAATATGATGATGTTTATTGTGAGGGGTTAACAACTTTACAAGGAAAATCAACTAGTTGTATTGGGATTCATAATTTAAACATAAAGTAACCGTTAATATATTCTCAACACCTCTTGTGAATTCTAGTTGAAACCCCTGCATCTAAGGATATTGCTATGAAAAATGTATCATATGGCCTCTTAAATCCCAAACATAAACAATAATTCAATCAAAAAGTCACTGATGCGTTCTTTATTACCCAAAAATAAAATCCATAAAGTCTTTACACCTTGCTTTGCCTGGTTTTTATATTCTTTTTGTATTACATAAGAGCATATACTTATGAATAAGAAGTAATTACAACTCCTTGTGTATCACATAACTTCTTAAATTTTTTCTTCATTCTTCCCGTTATTTAAGCATAGAAGCATAAAGAAAAACAACAACAACCTGCGTTCGAAATATGATATACTGTGATGTATGAAAAGTTTTTTTATTCTTTACTCTGTGCACATGCTGAAAGCTGCTTTATTTATAATTCAAAGTATAAACAATAATAATTACACTTTCCATCATCGCTACTTCCTCTTTATCCCTTATTTTATGATGAAAAGTTTTCTTCAGGCGGCTATGCATTTATGCTTTTTTTTTTGTTCTTCTAAGCATGTTCATAGGTATATTTATGTTTATATGTGAGAAAGAAGAGCATAATATCATACTTTATGTCGAGTATGCTGCAAGAAATAATAAAATAATATACAGGATAGGATTTTTCACTAATGATGTCCATTAAAATGAGATTTTTAGATCCCTTACTTAACCTGTCACTGGATGTGAATATAAAATTTGATATGGACAGCTTTAAAGATTGAGAATGACGGGACGGAGTCTTCTTTAGCTAGATTAGGTCTTCTTAATCATAAAGTTGGGATCGTCCTTAACAAAGAAGACTTTTAGTTGCAAACGTTGGAAACTGGAATGGTTCCAGAGCAAATACGGCTACTTAAGCAAGACGATGCAAATACAGTCATCCTCTCTACCCACCCCTCTTCTGCTCCTCCTAACCATTAGACGTTATTTACAAACATCCCCAATGAGACATTCTCAAAGTCTGGACGACAAGAAGCGATGCCTGCGAGAGAATTTACCTTAAACAAATATTATACCCCAAATGCAAAGACACGACGATGCTTCTACGACTGGTACTTTAAATGAATGTATAAATTAGATAGCACTGCCTTTGATGCTGTTATCTGTCTTGACTTTATTTTTTTACATCAGAGAACAAAACAACTTTTTTTAAATAAAGAAAATTTTGTCGACTTTCCTTCTGCTGTACACTCACTTCCTTCTACATTTCTTGGCCCTTGTGTCGTCTCATACGAACGGAAATGGCGTTTGTACAGCAGTAGATATTATGTTGTCTTTTGTGGCCAATCTAGGAAAGACGAAGAAGAAAAAAAAATGCAAATCTTTCATGGAAATTTATTCAGAAAAAAGCAGCAACAGCAACTGGAAGCATAAGCTAAACTGATGAAAAAAAAAAGTTACAAGAAAAAGCAATAAAGTTTTATTTTGTCAACATGACAAAGTAGCACGACAGTATATACTTTATGTATATATACCACAAGGCGTGAAGGAATGATATAAACAGAGAAAAAAATGTAAACTCTATCATCTTTTACTGAACATTAAACAAAAAAGAAATATTTCGTACACCAAAAAATAAATCATCGAGCTCGAATCCGCGATAGAGATGAATAACATAACAAGGAAGTATAGCAAGATGCTTTTATGGCTGAGAGCGCATTGAGAGAATTGTTTGGACAAGAAGATGCTGATTGAGTTATTGAAGAGTAATTTTGAGCTAGTATGGGATTTTTCGATAAAAGTTGATACTATTGTCACTTCACCGAGCTGTACCTTACTGCATCTTTCATTTTTTATCACCAAAAAACTGTCTCAACGCTGTTTTGGCATCCTTTAGACTCCGTAACGTTTAGTTTTGAATATAAAGACAAAGCAGTGCCCTGGAGACTATGCTACTCATGCAGAATTAATACTTAGTATGTTTTAAAGACAAACAACTTCATGATAACTGAAGAACAAGGTGAAAGATTAAAAGTCATAAGATAATGTGTCTCCAAAGCTCAATGTCCTTTATCTTCTGAACTCCGTCTTAAAATCTAGAAAAGTCCACTCGAAATGTCATTGACACAGTATCAAAGAACAAAAAGATATTATCGCCCTCATCAATCTCATCTTTTGTTGACTCACCCAGCATAGGAAGGTCAAGTTCATGGGTCGATTCTCAATAAATCCTTGAAGTTGATGAAAATACCAAGAAAAAGATGTTTACCTGATAATCAAGTAGTAATTAGCAGCATTCATCCAATGAACTTTTAAGCACCTACTCAGAAACTTGATTGAAAGCAACCCTTCTTCCTCGAAATTCATGCTAAAAGGGCAAAATTCTTTTATCGTGTAAGAAAAAAAAGGAAATATTTCTTGTATATATGAAAATTTGTTGCACATACTACAAAAGTCTACATGTGAGGAACAAGAAGAAATTGTAGTCGAATTTTCATTTCCGACTAGAACTGTATATAGGAGTCAGGGGAGGGTTTCTATTATTGTTTGATTTATGGATTTTTATATATCGCAACAGACGATAATCGAGAAAAAAAGAAGAAGAAAGAGAAATATTTTTTAGAATTGCTAAAAATTGCTTCCCGACGATACCATTAACATTATTCTTCTTTCCTTCAACACACGAATATGTCTAAACATTGGCTGTGTACGACTGTAGATGTATATGTTGAGTGTAAAGGAGCTTAGCAAATCATAATGGATTTTTCTCACTCTCACTTTCCTCCGAATTCATCCTTTGACAAGTACTTACATTCTAAGTCTAAATAAAAGTTTCAAATGTAAGATAAGGGGTTATTCGTAAATGATGTCTGTATGATTTATAAGGGGATTTAAGATGTTACATCTTGCTTAGTCTTTATTTCCTAATAAACCAAAGGAATCAGAAAGAATTATCTGGTAACATGGAAAAGGTAGTTCCTCATTCTTCTCAAACACAGACGTCATAAGTGAACGACCCCATACAAATTTTGTTTCCATGTTTTTCATTCCTTCTTATGTGCTACAATTTTCTTTATGATTGCGTTTTTTTTTCTCGCAAAAATTCAACGCAACAAAAACACGAGCAAAAAGAGGAAGTAAAAAGGAAATTCTTCTAATAACCTCTGCGATGATGTTGAAAAATGAGAGAGTTGGGGTTGCACAATAAATTCCTTTCCCTGTGACTTGTTAAAGACAATTTTGTGGTCTCGTCTCTTTAAATACTCTTTTCTTTAATGGGAAGCAGCAACAAACACGCAAAAGATGTTTTTCATTCATGGTATTTGGCTTGTTAGGCGCTTCTTTGTGCCTCCCACATTAATTTCATTTCCGAGTCTTAAAATAGCAATATGAAAGATAGCGAATCGAATGACATAACGAGATTTTAAATCTAACATCAGTCTTACAAGAACAACTTTTATTTACGCTTCAAGTCGACACATTTTTTGGTTTTTTGGGAGATAAAACTTCATTTGCTATTCCTTATTGTTATCTGTGATTTTTCTATCTCTTTTGAATTGTTTTGATATGCAAAATAAAATATAAAATTCAAGAAGATTAATTTGAAATTTAAAGGGATTACGTTGCATTTATGCTTTATGCTTCATACCTTCCAAGCGTTCGAAATGCTATAAATAATTTCAATGGAAAGTTAATGTTGTTTTTATAACCGTAAAGTGTAGAAATTTTTATTCCTTTATGCTTTTATTATACGGAACAAAAAATGTATTAACTTCACTTCAAAAACGCTTTTTGTGCTTCAATAAAAAAGCTTTTGCTTTCATGCTGTTTGTGAGGATGGCAAAAAAAAAATTGTTGAAAGGAAGAAAAATTATGAAACTATGGCAGTGGCGCACCGCAAAGGACTTGCTTCCTCCCATTTTTCTACTCTACTAAAAGTAATTCCTTTCATGCTCGTAATGCCTATTTTCATCCACAGAAGTTTCGTCCTATTTGCCTCGTTCATTTCCATCTCATGTTGCTTTTGTGCTTCTTTTTGTTAGAAAAAGGGAACTTTTTTGTTTTATCTTCTTTGTCCGTTGATCCGCAATCTTTTTTTATGAATGAAGAAATTATCCTTTGGTCTAAGCTTTGGGTGGAGGGTCAAGATACGCATTTCTTGAAAGGATATATCCAGTTTTGGAGAGATTTTACTTCTATAAAGAGATATTTAGTTCATATAAGGCTGAAGAGAATTTTTGGTGTGTAGTTTGATATCCTTTTGTGTAGCTTCATTACTTCATGTGTAGTTTTACTCCCTTCGATAAAGTTCCATGATTTTTTTGCCTTTCTATGTAGTTTTACACCCTTTAGTGTAGTTTTACACACTTTGGCGTAGTTTTACACCCTTTGGCGTAGTTTCATACATTTTTGTATAGTTTCAAACCCTTTTGCAACAATTTTATTCTAAAGGAGCATTAAAATCTTAATCATTATGGCATTAATCTCTAGAAATGCGCCTATATCAACTAATTATCATCAAGGCCTCCTTTATTTTCCCTCTACCTTGTTATTCACATAATACACACAGCATTAAACATAAAAGAATTGAATGAAAAATTGAGGAAAAGTTGAAACAATTTTCATTTAATTTTTTTCTTTTCTATGATAAAGTTTTTCTATCGTATTTTTTTTTTTAATTTAAGTAGCATAAAAACAATTTTCATGCTCGGAGTATGATGATATTTGAAAGAATAATCTGAAACACTTTGCAATAAATTTAAAACAGTATAAAAACCGATTAACGACTTTTGATACTTCCTGAAGTTTGCAAAAGCATAACCATACATTACATTATCGAGGATATAAAAAGCATAAAATGAAAATGTGAATACAAGCTTTAAAGGCTCATTTGAATTCAATTTAATTCCTGTAAATTTACCCACTTCCTCGTTCACTTCCATTCTGATAAAAACGTCAGACGTGAGTATGTGTCAAGAATTTTATTCCTTTTTTTTTTAAATAAACCATTTGAAACTTTGGAGAGATGAAAACAATAAAAATTGTGTGTGTATGTGTGCGGTGGAATGAAGAAAATAAGTCAAAATATTCTGACATGGAAGTGACTAGAATGAGAATGGATGGACAGACAGATAACGTGAATTGAAATTGAAAAACTGTCTTTTTTGTTTTTCTTTTACCGAAAAATCATTTTGACATCTTAACGGAAAACATCAATTTACTTTTTGCACAAAAATAAACTTGGCTATAAAAATTTAATTTTTAATTCATTTTTCCTTTTCTCTTTCCATAAACTTCACGTACACGACTTTTATTGATCATGAAGGTAATTGGCAAACGACAAGGCAATAAAACACCAGGTTCGGAATCTCAATCACAGTCGAGTATTTGCTCAACGCCGGGCCAAAGTTCAGCTAGCAATAAAATTTCAAGTGACTGGCCAGACCCGCCTGACATTCCAATTTGTAGCACGGAGGATGAAGCAGCTAGTATTTATTCAGACTCAGGTGAGAATAATATTTTAAAATGTCACTTTTTACCCTTTTATCGTTACGATCTTCATTGTCATTAAGGATGTGCAAGTAATTGTGTGCTTGGGATAAGCTCAGCTTTGGGGGGCGTTCGTAAATGATGTCCAAATTAAGGGAAAGGGTTCAATATAATTGCATCTGTGCAAAATCATTGAGAGTCGATTTTAAAATGTACATCATTTGTGAACGAACCCTTAAGAGCTAACGTCACATCATTTACAATCAACTCCTCACAAAATTCCTAGGTTCTCCAGATAATGGAAATTTATCGAGACTATTAAAGTCTTAAGTGTCTGTTATGATGATATGGAGACCTCCCAAATGATGTGCTATATCACAATGACTTTCTGTCTTTTAATTTAATTTTTAATGAGAAAACTTTTTTTCCTCATGTTCCATTCCCAACTGTCGTTCATCTTTTGACATTTAATTTTTCTTTGTCTTTCTTTCAACAATAATATTTTTCTTCATAAAAAAATAATATATCCCTTCCATCTCGTCTGTACAGAAGATGTGATTCCACCTGGAACTGATATATCAGATGGTAAAGCAACTTATATAATAAGAAAAGGACGACGAAGACAAAGAATTGACGAATTTGGATCCGTCTCGATGTCATCAATAAATTCAAAGTTAAGTAATGAAGGTTTATGCGATGATGGAAGCAGTAGTAATGTGGCTTTGAATGTGCCAAGTCCAATTTATCCGCCATCGATGATGATACCAAATTCACGTCATTCTATTGACCTGGGAGCATCGCCACGAAAGCATATACTTCATCAACAGCACTATCATCAGCCAAATTTAATATCTAATTCACCAAGGTATGTATGTCATGCTTCGTACTCATTCATTCATTCACATCTTAAAAATTTATGATCATTGTACAAGCATATTGTTAGGTACATGCTAGAAATATTTTATGAAGCTAAAATTCATCTCAGTATAAGCATAAGCATAAGAAAACAAATCATAATCCCTCCCATCATTTCACAGATCACGATTATCATTAGATTTAAGTTCACCAAACACAAATAATACCGTCATTGACCTCCCCAAGTTGGTAACAACACCAACATCATCCACAACATCTACAACAATTAAATCACCATCTGTCACTAAAATAACTACACCAACTTCACCTTTGGTTGCTAATTCTGCTCCATTTCCATCCAGATATACGGAATTTAAGACATATAGTTCCACATTCGATGGACTGCAGGCACTCGAGAGTCATTCGTCCAATGGTAATAATCTTGTAAATGGAAATCGAGTATCACCGCAAGTGAACAATAATACATCACCCGATAATAATCCACTGATGCGTGTATCATCACTACCTGCAATACCACCACAGATTCAATTAACAGGTAATTATTAATGCATCAATTGTCTAGTTGTTTCTGGCTGACTGACATTGTATCACTCAGTATCCTTATTTTACCCATGTGAATGTGTGCACAATCTTCTGTTTACCATCATTAATAGTGAATTGTAAAGCTTTTGTGCATTATCTATGCAATGCGAGTACGAGAAGCCACTTTGACTAATGAGCACTTAATATCTGTTGACAACAAATTGAAACATCACTGCCTTTTTCCACTGAATTTTGCAAAATAATCTACATTTAATAAATCGCCTGAAATTTTAAAACCAGAGTTGAGTATGTCGTTGAATCTTGATTCATGATTCTTGAATTGAGAAAAATTATAATCGAACAATCGAGTCAAACCTTAGTCGGATCGAACAATCGAGTCAAACCTTAGTCGGATAATCGAGTCTAACCTAAATCGGATTAAACAGTCGAACTTTAGTCGGATAATCTAATCAATTCTTTGTCGGATAATATAGGCGAATCTTAGTCGGATAATACAGTCGAACCTTAATCGGATAGTCGAGTCTAACCTTAATCAGAAAATTGAGTCAAATTTTAGTCGGATAATCGAGTCAAGTCTAAGTCAGACAATTGAGTTAAGCCTTAGTTGGACAATCGAGTCAAACCTTAGTTGGATAATCGAGTCTAATCTTAGTCGGATAATCAAGTTTAACCGTAGTCGGATAATTGAATCAGATAAATGAGTCTTACTCTAGTCTCTTTGTAAATCAAAAACTGTTCAGTCACCAATCCTGGATTTTCAGTGTCATCATAGACTAGACTCTACTACAACTTACTCCTTTGGTTAATTTTGCACAATTTTATGTAGTGCCTCCCGATTTGCTTCGACAGTGAATTATTCAAATATCATCCAAATATGTCTGAGCACGCAATCTCATTTTTCCACAATTTCCATGAAGTACTTGGAACAAGCTATTTTTCTCCGACTATTATTTTCCATACAGCAGTTCCTAACAACATCATAATAAGTGAAAAAGAGACGAAAACATAAAAAGAATCATGACATTTGAAGTACTTTAATAAATTGTTTCATATCCTTTGCTATTTGCGTTATGTACACATTGTGTATCCATATTTTGAAGTGGGAGAGAATAAGAGGCCCATTCAGCACAAAAAAAAACATGACTGTAAATATGACGTCGGGATGAGTTTTTGACGCTGCATTTTTTTTTGCTGTTTCTCATTCTATTATTATTATTTTGGATCATGGGGAGAATAGAACATTAATATTATTTTTGTTAGATAAAATGTTTTGATAAGCTAAGCTGAGGCATTTCCAATTTCGACATGACATTTTTTGTAAAGATTGAATTTTTTTTGACTCAATTAAACTTTTTTTATATTTTTAAAAAATATGAATTCCTTCACATGTTACATAAGCATCAAAAAACTTTGTCATCTAAAAATAGACGGCGTTGTACGACATTTTACCCTCACATGCTTTCCTCATAAGAAAAATGAAGCATGACGAAAGAAAAAGGGAAGAATTTTCCTTCCATTCACTTTCTGTTGAAGCTTTTTCATTCAGAAAATCCACTTACAATGCCTAAAAAATGAATGCTTTTGCTTTTGCTTTCAACATCCTTGTTGATGCTATGGATGGCAAGCAAGAGCATTTTATAAATGAGGAAAATGGTAATTTCACATAGAAAGTTTTGTTGAGCGTGTTAGAGCGATGTGAGGGAATACGTTATGTATCATTTGGGAATACTTGTAAAGGATATATTTTCAGCATACTGCCAGGTATCAATCGATTACAATATTTTATCGATACAAAAAAAAAATTCTATTTAAATGATTCTTTTTTGCGTTACTTATAAAAATTGGATTTATTGTGGTTTGAATGTTGGATCCAGGGGTGCATAATCAAGACTTTAGTTCCTGGTCGGTTAATTGAATCAAAACTGGGTCGGATAAAAATATCAAAACTTAATCGGATATTAGAATTAAAACCTAGTCGGATAATTGAATAGAACCCTAGTCGGATAATTGAATAGAACCTTAGTCGGATAGTTGAATAGAACCCTAGTCGGATAATTGAATAGAACCTTAGTCGAATAGTTGAATAGAACCCTGGTCGTATAATTGAATAAAACCCTAGTCGGATAATTGAATAGAACCCTAGTCGGATAAATGGATATTAACCTAGTCGGATAATTGAAAAGAACCCTACTCAAATTAATGAATCATACTCTAGTTGGATCCTGATATTATTTCTAGCTACATCTCTGCTTAGCAACATTTACTGCATATTTTACATGCAAGCACGTCCATGATATTTTATAAAAGAGTCATTGCACTTTTGCAAATTAAATATTATATTTATTGATACATCTCGAACGCGTGATGGGATTGAATTGCGAAACTTTTTGCTGCAAGCTCGTCTTGGAACTTCTTCATTGAAAAATTTAATAACTTAAGTTTTCCATAGTGAGTGGAATTTACATGCTAAAAACTTTTGCATGCATAAATTGATTTTTCAATTGCTATAAAAAATATTTTCTCCTCGAGTGGTATGATTAGAAAGTTGATATTTGATAATCAGTGCAAAGTGAGATATGTGATTGCTGTTCAAGCAGGTTTTTTTATGGTTGGATCTTGTAATGTAACTTTGGAGATGACATTTCGTGTTATACTTGGAATTATTAGAGCACTTGCTTTGCTGTTTCGCTTGTTATCATTTTCAAGAGTATTGTTTGCACAGATGATAAGCAAGTGATAAGTTCTCTTGAATTATTATCGTGTTACTTAAAGATATGAGAAGCTATTTTGTTATGCTTCAAAATTTTAAATAATTTTTAAATAGCTATGTTGAGCTGGATCCAAATGTAAGCTAATCTGTTTGAATATTAGATTTTCAGTTACAGAAGCAGCTCAAGAGTAAGATAAAGTCAGCTGCTTAGTTAATACGTAACGAAATCCGATGAATCTAGTCGAATGTAAGCTAATATGCTGATGCAAGGGTAAGAACCTCAATGACCCAGTGGCTAGCTTACAACTCTTAAATTCCAACTGTATTGAAGACGTAGGTTCGAAGCCTATCAGAAATCGATCACTTAATCATTAAATACAGCATGGATTGACAATATTATAAGAACTCACACTGTTAAATCAGAAACCTGCTATTATATCTCGACAAGAACTTTAAAGGTCATTTAGAATGAGCTTAAGTCATCAAAAAGCAAACAATAATAAAAGTGCTACACCCATAAAAAGTTTCACACGTTCATAATCTGCTCTACAACGCTTTATCTTCACAATCTTCTTCGTACAAATAGTTAAAACTTTTAGTAAATACTGATTACAGATAGCATAAATGTCTGATAATAATTTGACACTAGCCTGTACAAGATTCATATGTGTGACATAATATGAAGTCCCCCTTTCTTTTTGCAAACGCAAGCATGTTATCTTTTTTTCGATGATGCTCTCGAAAATTGTTGTAACATCCGTTTCTGCTCAAGTTCCACTTTCTTATTTCTTTTTCTATCATTCATGCTCCATCCGCCCAGTTGAATTGTTAAATGAAAAAGCCTTTCCCAAATCATCAATTTTTCATCTTTTTATTCATTTTTTTTTGCAACTCCATCCAAAATTTTTTTCTTCTTTTTCTCCACTCGATTTTCATTCTTTTCTTCTTCTATTTCTATTCATATTTGTTTCATCAATCAAACATTTTTCACCAAATATTCACACAAGTGTGAGCTCAATTGGAACGTTGCTTAGAAGTAGGAGTTCTTCCTATTTTATTTCTGATGATTGAATGATCGGAATGAGCAAATAAAGCGTATATAAAGGGAAATATATAGAAATTCGAGGAAAATTAAAGCAGCGTTTACACCCTGACTGCATATATTCGTGTGCTTATAGCACTTTTGAACCGGGAATGTCGATATTGTTTTCATTTTGACTGTTTGTTCGTTCTTTCTTCTGATTATGTATATATTCATATGCCGTATTGCATGCTATTGCTGATATATCTCTCCTGTAAGAGGTTCCTCAGTAAAGCCATACAAAATATACTATTCAGAGCAGATTAATAGTTCAAGTTGACATTCTGTTAAACTTCAAAACAACTTTGATAGCTCAGTGGAAAGAGTATGCAACTGATAAATACAAGAGAGCTGGTTCGATTCCTACTCGAAATAGTGTTGTTGAAAACTTTACTTTTTTCAGCCAAATATTTAATCAACAGTTCCCTGGATGTACTGGATTCATAAATGAGTCAGTCAGAGGATTTAGAGATGCCTGCTAATATAGTCAATTTTAAACATTCTCTATGGGAATCGACTCTTTATGGGATTGGGCTCAAGCGAAGTCAGGAAGTAAATTAGAGTTTCGAATTTCACCACTTATTAAAAATAAGGCAGCTCTTATAATAAGTAGATTCTCAGTTTTTACAAAGATTAAACCAGAGTTGGAAGCATCCGGAAAAGCGTCAATCATTGAAGGGTCTAGTGAATTTCTAGTCTGTAACACAATGTCTATGTCGTAGATCAAAATTAAACCAGCACATTTCTAAAATATGCTGCAAGAGCACTAAATGCGCTTTAATTGCCTCACAAGTATCAACATCAATACTAATTTCTCCTATTTATAATGGAATTTTTCTCGTGAGAATTTTTCCTTTCATTTCTTTCCTTCTTTTACAACACGTAAGGTGTAAAAATTGATCTACTTTTATTTATTTCGCTTACTTCTTTCACTTTTCCACACACCACCAACCATCACTTTATCTAGCATGTCTCACTCTACCATCAAGTTGTATTCCATGCTTTTTTTATACAGATAAATATATCTAAAGGATTAAATACGAATTTATTCTCTTTTTTGTGTTTACTCTATGGAAAAATAGAGATGGATAGATGAGGGATTTTTTTTTTGTGTGTTGCATAAACTGAGGCGAAAGTATTGAGTGGATGAAGCAGAAAAAAAAGGAGATGAATTATTGAAATCCTTCGCTTTAAAGTGCTATGCAATAAAAACATATAAAGGCATTGAAACTTTTTACTTCCTTACTACCATCAATTTCAAAAATTTGTTTTGAACACTTTCTTAGAAAAAGGCAAACACACTCGCTTTGGTACGGATTCTCTATTCATGTAAAGTGCTCAACATGTTAAAATGATGAGTGACTGTTGCTTTAGATTTTTTTTTGTAGGATTTCTTTTTTAAATATCTGTTGTCATCGTCTTTTTATGTAGGTTCTTGACAATCAGGGTTGAAAAATTTGCATTATCAGTTGATGAGAATTAGAGCTTGCTTTTGATGTCATAATATGTGACGATTAATGAATAATTTGACAAATTTTCATCATTGAGAAGCTACAGGTTTTTGAGGTTAGGAACTGGAATATTGAAGCTTACAACCTGTAGCAATGAGGCTTTTTCTAGTAGATACGATCTGTAAAATGGGAAAATTATCCTTTCAAGTCTAGAAACCAAGTTCGCTGCAATTTTCACGAACCAAATTACTAAACAACTCCGAAACAAGCCAATCTAGCTTACAAAAGCCAATTGAGTGACATAATGCAATGACCATGACATATATTTTGTTCCAAAAAAGGGTTGCAGTCTATTGTTATTTGTTATCGAAATTCGATACTTTCCATCAAAACAGGAAAGCTGCTCTGAGAGGATAGAAAATTCTCTACTTAAAATATATGCTTGACAACATTCCTTTGAGTGCAGTTTAGAAGATATAGCAGATATCCTTCTGAATAGAATCTGTGGATTTACTAAAATATCAATCACTTCCCAAAATCTCTTACAATAAAATTTGTTTTTCAATTTTTCTCATGCTTCATGCAGATACAACGACATACTCAAATTCTGTTATGACAAAAAAAAATAAGATAGACGAAGTTTTTTTTCGAGATAATTCAATATTCCCAAAAGCTCTGGTCTATATAAAAATAAAATTTCTGGATCCACTGCATTAATCTGAAAAAATAATCATAAAAATAAAGTATAATAACACTCTCGAGTCTAATATCCATTAGTTTAAAGTGCGTTTCAATAATCTGCCTTCAACGGTTCCTTTTACTCGTTATTACTTCATTTGCGACAAGACAAGACATAACGAAGTGAAATGAGGAAGAAAAACTTTTTTTTCACATTTTTATTATATCCTATTTTAAGCAGGCGATTCAACGTCAACCCCACGACGAGAATTGGCGCCACCAATCGAAGAAGATAGTGAAGAGGATAGCGATGGAACGAGACAAGCGCCATTGCGACAGATAGAAAATAATATTAGCGCCCTGTTGCGTGGTGAAATAGCTGTAGCGCAAGTTTCAACAGCACGACCTACACGACCGTTAGGATTTCGGTCCGGCGTTCATAAATCAGAAAGTGCCAAAGAGATGCTTTTATCGCAACAATATTTCGGTCCACTTCCAGCAACGCCACCTTCGTCAAGTCCTGATGAATTTCCGCCTTTACCGCACACACCACCATCACCTGATGATCCAATGATAGCACATGGCATACAGAATATATCAATTGCATCACGTGGACGAATAAAGTCATCAGAACATGGATATCGTAAAGAGCATCGAGCACCTGCTGTTCCACCACATGCACCACCTCATTCATATGAATTAAAGACTCGATCAATGGATGCTGGATTTAGTAAATCATATAGAAATGGCTCATTGCCAATGTCATCACCACATTCACCCGGACGAACTTTACCCCCAGATTTACCATCTAATACATCGTCATCATCGCGTCGACGTTTGGCAAGTAGTGGCTTTCCAAAACGCTCTGCACAAAGTCCGCGCGAAGAGAGACGTCTACAGACATCATGCAGCTTACCAGAAACGCCTATTTTTACGAGAGGGTAAGCACAAAAGCGAAAGTGATAGTCGTCCATAAATTTACTTCTAATTCCACTTAATGGATGCCATTATTCACATTCTTTTATATTCTCTCACTTTCAATATGTCATTCATCATGAACAGATGTGATATACCACGTGGTACACCCCATAGAAGAGCAGCTCCTGATCCACCTGGATCATGCGGTTCAAGTCGAACAAATCCTCGTCAAAATAGCTTAAACACTTCATCTATTGTGGGCATCGGTAAGTGAAATATATGAATTTATTTGGGCTCCAATTATTAAAGTTTAATGAGCTTTCAAATGTCTGATAGGCTAGAGCTGAAAAAGGTTGTACAGAATGGGAGTAAAATTTTCTTATAACTGTGACGGGACTCATTTTTTGATGGAATAACTTCCGCTTTTTTTTGTCCATACGAATAGCCTCCGGTGACGGGTGGTTAGGGCTTATTTGTACAGTTCATACCTTTCGATTCCCAAAACGTCAATCCTTTATTCGTGACCACCCACTTGCCCCCAATATTTATTGCTTTTTGTTGATATTAGATAAGAGGATGGTAGCTTTATTTATTTTCTGGTATACGGTGATTAATCTAAGACCCATTAAAATAAACTTTTGTAGGATGCACGACACTTGGAAGTACAGGACGACCACATCGAAGCATTAATCACGCATTACAAGCAAATGGTGAACTTATGAGATTGCAAGGATTGCCAGCACGAGGCTGGTATCCAAAACAAAGGCACACAAGAACGACTGCATCAACAGAACATTTAGATAGACTGCATCAAGGATCAATGAGAGCATGGGAAATGAATACTGGTGGTAAACGAAAGCCAACAACTCTACCGCCCAATATGACACCACCAAAATTCTTTAATAAATCACCGCGTGAAGCACTCAGACGTGTCACAAGTTTACTAATCAATCGTAAAGGTACAATGGAATGAATATTTTACTGTCACTAATACTATCTCACTCTAACAATCATCAGTCATTAACAATCATTACGGTTTTGTTATAACGGATTATTGAAATTTAAAAATGTGTCTTGACTAAGCAAATGCACATTGATTTGAATTTTGAACATCCGTTAAAATAATTTCATGACTTAACCACATTCTTACATTCTTCACATGCGCAGGGTAGTTTTATAAGTTCCGTAACATTTTACACAATATGTGTAATGAGACAAATGGAAAATTATGTAAATTTTCATCATTCTTGAATTTCATTAAATGTCTCGGTGTTTTGAGAACTTAATCCCCACCGAGTATCTGTTTGCATACCATTGCATAATTTTTCTGTTAACAGCATTAATAAATTTCTGTTGGTGCTAAATGAAAAACACAGACGGGAATAAGAGAAATTTCTTCTTCATTAAATATGGCTTAATAGAATCGACACATACAAAAAAGTGTGATTTTCAACAGCAATTTTTAAGTGCACTCCACCCTGGAACCATTTTCATTATTTTTATTTTAAAATATCTTAATCTTATTCCATCTATCTCATCATAACTCGGAAGCACTGTATTTTTCATAATAACACAATAACACAAATAAAAATGCATTAATGCGTCTATCAGGAATAAGAGACAAATAATGTAGGAACGATGGAAAAAAGACATATTGTGGAACATTCTTGTGTATGCATGTGTAAACACAACAGAATGTTCTAGGGTCAAATGATAAATAAGCAAATGTTCCATAACATACAACAACAATGTCCTATAAACTCGCAGAGATATGATAAATTGCTTGCCTCATATGTGACTGATATTTTCCTTTTGAGTCATAAGCTTTCAACGGATTTTTTTAGCTGAGTTTTAGAAATTTTGAAGAGTAAGATTTTGTCGGTCTGTCTTTTTGACTTCTTTGTGTAGTGAGATTTCAAAATTTATAAATTCGTTATATTTTAAATATTTTATGACCGTTCCTTTTTTTAAATATTTTATGGCCGTTATTTAATTTTAGACGTATATTTTTGAAATAATTTTTGAAGGTTATTATTCAAATATTAAATGACGGTTATTTCTCAAACCCATAAAATGCGCATTAAGCAGCCATAAGAACGAACAATTTCGTACTAATTTTTTGCTGTGTGTCTCAAAACTCGTTTCTCTTTTTTTACACGCTTTTTATTGAGTTGCTCTGTTGGTTTCTTTGTATGTCACGTTCAAATCTTGCAATCGATTTTTCGACCACTTCTATTGCTCCAATCGAGCTCAAATTTTATATACACACGTATTCCCGGTGACAATACAATATTTTAACACTTTGGAACCACAAAAATGCTTAATTATAGTACAATTTTAGTAAAACTTTTTTATATGGGAAAAAAATCCAATGTCAATAATATAAAATTTTGATTTGTTGAAAATGTTATACTTGATATGCTCAAAAGTCATTTATATGATTCATTATAGTTTAATTAATATTACTAATTATTAATTATACTATAAATTTGAGCAGCTAAAGATATTCTGGTAGGACAAAAAAAATTGACAAGTAATTTTTTCATGAATATTTGTAAGTGAAAATTTGAATTTTCAAAAAAACCGTTAAGCACAAGTCCGTTACGAATTAATGCAAAATAACTATTAATATGCGATGTGCATTTAGCAGACATAGTTTAAGCATAAATTTTAGCTGTTTTTAATGTATTACATTGTTCATAACACTTCACCAATTTAATTAAATTGACTTTTCTATATATTAACGGCTTGACGTATTTTTGCATAACATATAAATATATTCATTGAATTTAAATTTGAAAATCCGTTATAAATACGTTACATATGTGATTTGCATTGATGTTAAAAATCCACACGTTATGAAGTAGAAATCTATAAACAGTTGAACGTAACGGAGTGAAACGAAGTGGAGTTCAACACACCTGTAACCTATAAACCTACTGTAATCTATAAACAGTTGAACGTAACGAAGTGCAACGAAGTGAAGTTCAACACACCTGTAACCTATAAACCTACGGTAATCTATAAACAGTTGAACGTAACGAAGTGCAACGAAGTGGAGTTCAACACACCTGTAATCATAAACCTACTATAATCTATAAAAAGTTGAACGTAACGAAGTGCAAAGAATTGGAGTTCAACACACCTGTAACCTATAAACCTACTGTAATCTATAAACAGTTGAACGTAACGAAGTGCAACGAAGTGAAGTTCAACACACCTGTAACCTATAAACCTACTGTAATCTATAAACAGTTGAACGTAACGAAGTGCAACGAAGTGAAGTTCAACACACCTGTAACCTATAAACCTACTGTAATCTATAAACAGTTGAACGTAACGAAGTGCAACGAAGTGGAGTTCAACACACCTGTAATCTATTAACAGTTGAACGAAACGGAGTGGAGTTCGACACATCTGTAATCTATAAACCTACTGTAATCTTTAAACAGTTGAACGTAACGAAGTGCAACGAAGTGGAGTTCAACACACCTGTAACCTATGAACCTACTGTAATCTATAAACAGTTGAACGTAACGAAGTGCAACGAAGTGGAGTTCAACACACCTGTAGCCTATGAACCTACTGTAATCTATAAACAGTTGAACGTAACGAAGTGCAACGAAGTGAAATTCAACACACCTGTAACCTATAAACCTACTGTAATCTATAAACAGTTGAACGTAACGAAGTGGAGTTCAACACACCTGTAATCTATTAACAGTTGAACGAAACGGAGTGGAGTTCGACACATCTGTAATCTATAAACCTACTGTAATCTTTAAACAGTTGAACGTAACGAAGTGCAACGAAGTGGAGTTCAACACACCTGTAACCTATGAACCTACTGTAATCTATAAACAGTTGAACGTAACGGAGTGCAACGAAGTGGAGTTCAACACACCTGTAACCTATGAACCTACTGTAATCTATAAACAGTTGAACGTAACGAAGTGCAACGAAGTGAAATTCAACACACCTGTAACCTATAAACCTACTGTAATCTATAAACAGTTGAACGTAACGAAGTGCAACGAAGTGCAACGAAGTGGAGTTCAACACACCTGTAATCTATTAACAGTTGAACGAAACGGAGTGGAGTTCGACACATCTGTAATCTATAAACCTACTGTAATCTTTAAACAGTTGAACGTAACGAAGTGCAACGAAGTGGAGTTCAACACACCTGTAACCTATGAACCTACTGTAATCTATAAACAGTTGAACGTAACGAAGTGCAACGAAGTGGAGTTCAACACACCTGTAGCCTATGAACCTACTGTAATCTATAAACAGTTGAACGTAACGAAGTGCAACGAAGTGAAATTCAACACACCTGTAACCTATAAACCTACTGTAATCTATAAACAGTTGAACGTAACGAAGTGGAGTTCAACACACCTGTAATCTATTAACAGTTGAACGAAACGGAGTGGAGTTCGACACATCTGTAATCTATAAACCTACTGTAATCTTTAAACAGTTGAACGTAACGAAGTGCAACGAAGTGGAGTTCAACACACCTGTAACCTATGAACCTACTGTAATCTATAAACAGTTGAACGTAACGGAGTGCAACGAAGTGGAGTTCAACACACCTGTAACCTATGAACCTACTGTAATCTATAAACAGTTGAACGTAACGAAGTGCAACGAAGTGAAATTCAACACACCTGTAACCTATAAACCTACTGTAATCTATAAACAGTTGAACGTAACGAAGTGGAGTTCAACACACCTGTAATCTATTAACAGTTGAACGAAACGGAGTGGAGTTCGACACATCTGTAATCTATAAACCTACTGTAATCTATAAACAGTTGAACGTAACGAAGTGCAACGAAGTGGAGTTCAACACACCTGTAACCTATGAACCTACTGTAATCTATAAACAGTTGAACGTAACGAAGTGCAACGAGGTGGAGTTCAACACACCTGTAACCTATGAACCTACTGTAATCTATAAACAGTTGAACGTAACGAAGTGCAACGAAGTTGAGTTGAAGTTGAATTGTTGTGGTCGAAATTCGATTAAAAGATTGAGACTAAAAAGTAGCAAATAAAAAAACGTTAAAAAAAACTTTTTAAAAAACACGCTTTTATCAAAAAGACTAAAAACCAAAAACTTGAAAATAAAATAAGATCACACTTTTAGCGAATCAGGATTTTAAAATTTTTCTTGTGGCAACTAGAAATGTAACATAAATTTTTTTCAAAATATTGTGATTAAGTCCAAGAACACAATGACTCTAAAAGCGTGGGGCGTAACTTAAGGATGAATTTCTTAGTTCAGGTATGTTCTTAAGTAAGAGAACGTCAAGTCTCAAAGCCCCACGCTTTTAGAGTCATTGTGTTCTTGGACTTAATCACAATATTTTGAAAAAAATTTATGTTACATTTCTAGTTGCCACAAGAAAAATTTTAAAATCCTGATTCGCTAAAAGTGTGATCTTATTTTATTTTCAAGTTTTTGGTTTTTAGTCTTTTTGATAAAAGCGTGTTTTTTAAAAAGTTTTTTTCTTCAATAATAACATTTTCTGTGTTATCACAAAACTGACGTCACTCACCAAAAAAATATATCTTTTGCCATACATGTCAACAAATTTCTTACTTAATCCGGGCCTTCATATTAATGAAATTAAATCAATTTTTTTTGGGGTTTTTAAAATATTTTTTAAAAAAGAAAAGAATTTCCGCTCAATATGTTGCTATGAGGCTGGAATTGAAATTGGCTTTGACATAACGACGACGTTATTTGAATGAACAAAAGCAGCAAGAGGAGAAATTAAGAAGACATTTGCCTGCAAAAATAAAATTGTTGCCTTCTGTTGCCAAAAAAAAAAAAAATTTGAAAGCAGTTGGAACCAGTTGAATTTTTGTTAATATTGTTTTAAGAAAATAAGAAGAACCAACAAATGTGTGTATATAAATTTTAGGGAGGGTTATTTAGAGCTGTTTGAAATTAGAGCATGATTAGGACTAGACAATGAGACGATGCGGGCTGTCTGCTATGCGTTTATATGTTAGCAATGTCAAGGGTTCATCGTGAACAAATCACCTTGAAAGTTTTTCACTTTTTTCATGGATTTCATCAGTTCCATTTCTTCTTATCTTATCAAAAATCCATTCAAATATACATCACAACGTGTTGCTGCTTAAAAATCGAATGAGAAGAGAAGAAAAAAAGTCGATAAAATAAATCACGAATGTTTGTGTGATAAATTTAATCGATGAGTCAGTTTGATTTGCAATCGCTTACCATTACTAATGCAGACATTGCTTTTCTTTAATCCATTATGTCGGTAACAAAGCGTCACTTGGAGAATTTAACAAACTCTTCGTTTGTCGTTGTCGCACAAAACACAATCTTCATAAACTTTTTATTTTCTTGTTGCGATTATTAAAATATAAAGTCGACTCTTTATGTCCACATACAGTATAAGAAACGGAAGAAAGAAGAATTTTTTTTTAGAAGAAGTAGCAAAAAACTCGCGATGTGAATTTTCAAATATAATGAATGATTGGTAAATTAAATTTTATATACATACACCTATATCATTAATGAGGAGATATTGAGTATAGAATTTATTTAAAGAAGTATGGAACATTTGGGTATGAAGGCGCAGTTTTAATGCTTTTGGAAATACCAGAATTAGAATTGATTAGATCATCCCTATTTTTAATGTTGTGAGCACGGAACCAATCCTTGTCACATCGAAAAACATTTTTATAATGATTGAGAAATCGGTATCTGGTGGGAATCGAATCTACGTCCTCATACAAGAGGATTCTAGATATACGATCTGTTCCCTTACCTCTCGCGCCACATAGGCCTAATCCTCGCTCTGACAGATTCGTCTTTATATGGCTCTATATCCTAAATTGCTCAGACACCTTACTTATAATAATTTATCAGATCAGATAGAACAACAGACAAAATAGCAACAAAAGCAAATATCCATCTAAAGTTCGCACTCAAAAGAAGAAGTTTAAATTGTTAGGATCATGTTGGCGCATTTCTATTTAAAAGAATTGAGACGTTAATAGAATATACAGACATCATGTACATAACCAAGTATACGAGAATTCAATAGTTTCGATCGCAAGTGTTGAAATTTTATATTTTAGTCTATAACTGTCTTGAAAGAAGTTTGGCATTGAAAGAAGATCAATAATTGTTTTGAATTATGCGAATAAATGTCTTATTATGCTTGAGCATACAGGCTTTTAGTAGAACAAACTATTTTATGAAATTGATGCCTTGCTTCTTGTAAATATTATTCCATTAATGTTAAAATGCGTATTGAAAAATTCCTGAAATTCGATCTTAATTTCGCAAGTGAATTGAGTTACATAATTAAAGTACATAGCTATCTTCAAACCTTATCGAAATTTGTCCTTGAAAAAAATTCGTGAGTCATGAGCTGTTATCAGATACACATCGAAATATTAATAGTCTATAAGCACATGATATATAAATTACAATTTCTCCTCATAAAACATGAAAGGTGTGCCAATAATTTATTGTCTAGCGTCTTTTGTAGGATTATTGTCTGTAAAACATGAATTGTGGCATGCAGGGTTGGGATACGGGCACCTGTACGGTTCTCATCTACATGTATTGCAACCCTGGTGCCATGCTTAGGGATTTTTTGTAGGATAGATGGGAATATGATCCTCAAATACTCAAGATTGTTAACTAAACTATCCTGATGAATCGTTTCCATAGTTCTGTTTCGAATCTAGCTTAAGGTCCACACAGGCAGCCTTAGAGTCCACAACATAAATTCAAAAATTCATTTACTCTTCATCTTCAAATCTCTACGAAGAGTATGTTCAAAGATAATCATCAAAAACACGTGTCTGTCAAATGACCAAGCCATAATTGAAAACACTTAACATTCAAAGAAATCCACAACTTACTAAAACTTTACTAGTAGATAGAAAATTAACAATTTATTGATAAGTGTCTCTAGTCGGAGAATAGCAAAAGAAGAGAAGAACTTAGCAGCACATTGAACTTAATTTAATTTTCACATTCTAAATTATTTATATTGTTATTCATTTGAAAGAAGTCGCATGTACGGTTAGGGTGGAGATACACAATAACAAATTTCTTTAAATTTATTTTAATCAGTGTCCAATTTATCTCTAAACAAACAATTTCTTTCTTTCTTTCTTTCTTTAATCCCCAATTCTCATTTCATATTTTATGCAATCCAACAACTGTCAATGATAATGAATAAACATGAATAGGCAATTCATCGTCAAAGGAAAAAGAAAAGGAAAAGGAAAAAGAAAGCAGCAAGCGAGAGAAACTTAAAGAAAGAGATGAAATGTTTGTTCCAGTTACATCACACGTTGTTCATCGGTCGCCCAGATCACTCGGTGAGTTTGATTTCATTTCTATAATAAGATGGATGTACTATAAATATATTATGTGATTGAAAAGGAATTGAATTTGGTTTTGCCTTTTGAGAGATAAAAAAAGGGATTCGGATATGTTTGTGCCTGTATAAATATAAAGATTCATGGGAAGAGTTCGAAATAGGAATATTTGGTTGAATAGTAAGTTTGGTATAGGATGTAGGAAGCGAATTTGGAGTTATGGGGTTGGAAATGAGGATAAAATTGAAGTGTTGGCCTTCAATTATACCCAATTTGACTGCTTAGCTACAAACTGTCTACCAGTAATTGGAATCATAAGCCTTTAGCAAATCAGCTTGAAACAGCAACTAAGTTGACTATAATCACTATCCTAAGTTCTAAAATGAGAGAATTCTTACTAAATCTGTGAATAGTCAAATTCTTGAGTATACCAAACTTATGCCAAATCTACAACTCAAACTTTTCATCAATCAATTTTCAATCCTAAATTCAACCAAACCCAATCTGTCCACAGCAAACTTGACACTACACCACAAATATCAGCTACAAAAAGTTTATTTTATCCCTTAAAAAATTCATTTTTCATTCGAAATCAATGCGAGAAGCGTGTAAACAAAAAAAACAACATAGATAATGGTTAATGTATTATGTGGAGTTATGCAGAAGCTATACTATAGAATCCCTCGAGTATTAAAGAGCATTTCCATAAATGATGTTACTAATGTAAAAAATGTGAATTTATGAAGGAAGAAATTTTCTTTTATGTCAGTTCTATTGCATCAATAAATTTTATTATACACAACAGGAGAATTTCAAAATGAAATTTATGATGCTTCTAAAAGATGAAGTACGTTCTCACTATTTGAGTATCATTCATTGCATCATATAAATGCCATAAGCTAAATTGAGGAAAGCACTTCTGTACATGTGATACAAGTCATACGTGTAATGAGATTTCAGGCCCTTTTCATGCCTTCTTATACAGCATGACAGTTCATTCCGAATTAAGAGCTTCATTGTATCTCTGCTATGGACTTTTCTTGTATCCATTGACATGAAAGGCCGATGAAGGTCAATCGAACCTAACGGCAAATAAAAAATGAGATTCATTATTTTTTTTTTTGTGAATGGATATCCTCATTCCACCTGTAATTATATCATGACATTGTCATCGTTGTACGGCCTATCTAATACAAATGACAATATCCCGAGATACATACACAATAAAACATTGTCCTGTTGTCCATAAATGTAATCTGGGGATGTTTAATGACAGCCATTCAAAAAGCATAATTATTATTGCTGTTCTGTTGAATGGATGTCATTAAGATTGATGGATAATTATTAATCAGATGCTTCCTTGTCTGGATGAGAAGAGAATGAGTTGATATACGGATGCAGAGGATATAATTTGTAGAAGAGGCAGGTTTGAATAGCTACTAAGATAGCTCTTAGGGTAGCCGTTAAATAGCTACTGAGATAGCTACTATCCATAATCTATCAACATACTATGAAACCTTTTAGACAACGATGCTCACTTGTCAAATAAATTACAGTAAAATATCAAATTTCTCATGCAAATTTAACAAGAAAGGTAGAAAAAAATGACAACTTTTTATCTGTCAATTGACAGATTTGTTTCCTTCCATCAAAAAGACACACTAAGGATCTGCGTAACCCGGATTCTCTGCACAACAATGCTCAATTGAGAGGAACAAATTTTCTTATTTGCCATTTTCCATTTTATTTGTCATTTTTCTTATTATTTCTTCATTTTTATCACATCGCTATTCTTTTTGAGTTCCCTTCAATATCACATTCCGACTGCCTGAATGTCGTATGATTGTTCTTCGTCATATCTCTCATCCTCCCTCTCACAAGCAATTGTTATGTATTGTAGCATAACATTTGATAGATAATATATATGTATGTATTAAGTATAAAGGAAAGGGAATGATGGTTGGGTGGGATAATTTCCATCCCTCGGTTCTTTGGAATGATTTTAATCTTATTTTATATATCGCTTGTAAAACAATAGTTTCATTTGCTGATGACGTTGATGACGGGAAAAATATTTTTATTGCTCTATTTATTATGTTTTCATTAACTAGAGCTATCATACAGCCACTACTGAATGATGTTGAAATAAATAAAAAGCAATTACAAATTTGAAAAGGGGTTTGTTTGTAAATGATGACTGTTGATAGTGTCGGCAGTTTGACTTTATAATATTCGACATCCTTTTTGTTCTGCATTAATAGATGCAGATTTAAGCATGATTCATCAAGCTATATGTAGGCGATTCTACCAGTTTGAGACTAAGCTCTTTGTAGCCGACTAGCTAAGCTACAAACACCAAATCGGTTGCTTCTTACATTTGTGAGGACGTGAGTTCAATTCCTACCATAAGTTAACTCAGTGTAGAGTCCAATAAATGCCTATTTGTAGACAGCATCTATCCTTGATCTTACCCTAAGCATTAGCCATAAGAAACTAAACCTGCTGAGTATTGAAAATTAAATTTGCATTAAATAACCAAATGACACTCTCACTAGACATCATAAAACAACAATCCCTAAGCTCCTTCTGAAAATAATATTATTTCTTTGAGTTTTCATCTCCCCGTCCCACAGCCAGTACGAAAAAGGAATAAAATTTCTTTCATCTATCGATTTTTTTTTCTTCCTCTTTTTCCATAACTGTGGAAAAAGACACGCATGGAGAAAAATGCTATACTGAGGATTAAACCGACAGAAAAAAAGTGAAGATTGAGGAAGCAAGAAGAAGCTGTTTATTTCACATGAGCACATAAAGTTGTGTAGATATTTAGAAGAACTTCTTCATTGTAATTCAATTAATTGAAAAGCAAATTCCTCGAAATAAGTCACAAGCACAGCAAATGAATCAGAATTTTTCTATTTCAGAAAACCTCATCAAGGCTATATAAGGAAAATGAGAAAGAGAAAAATTCTTTCATTCAGTCATTCTGCCTTATGTGTTTAATGAACTTTTTTTTTCTTTCTTTCGCTTCGCATTCTTGCCACCCTTAAAAATATTTTTCTTCATATCCATCGCATTGTGAGCTTCGCATTTGTGAGAGGAAAATGAAATATTTTTGCGAGAGAATGCCTTGAATGTGGTTGTGAGAACCTTACAAATTAGACGGATCAAGAATATTTTGTGTGAGGATGCTAACACAATCATGAAAGTCAGAAACGTGCTTTACCGCTTTTCTCTCTGCTATGCTACATAAAATAGTCACTCCACCTCTTTTTTTATAACTTCCCCAACAAGTTCAATGGAATCCGCTCCTCTTCTTTCCGCGTATCTTGAAGCAACAAAATGTTGATTTTTTTTCGGCAAAAACTTTTTTCTTGAGTCATAAAAAAAGTTCTGAATGACGCTATTATGGCTATGGAGAAATTATGACTATATATTGCGAAATATTTCTCCATTTTTTGGAAGGGCTTTTATGGTAAATTCTTTTACAATCTTTGCCTTAGTCAGATTGTTTTTTGCATGATGATGATAATCGAAAAATGTTTGAATCATCCTTACAACTTTGCTATCATGAAGAATGCTTAAAAAACAATATCAAATGACTTGAGTAAGGGAACGAGACTAATTAAAATTAAATTAAATGTCAAATGGTTTCAGATTTTATTTTAAATTATATCTTAAAGGAAGTTTTACATGCGAGACTGATAAAGGGTTTTTGGATGGGATGTAGTAAGGGAGTTGATTTGGGACTAACTTAGCTGGAGCTGAAATCCATGGAATGTGGATCAATTTGAATGAAATATGCAAGATTGAATAATCAGAACATATGAAAAACTCAATTTTGGTTAATATTGATTGGCAAATAAAGTTCTGAAAGACACAATTCATCCTCTTTCTACATACCTTTAAGAAAAATTGAATGTCCTCCTCCAAAAAATGTCTAAATTCATCTCTGGTTCCATTGCTATGAGTTTTAATAGATTTTAATCCTTTTAAAAGTTTTCAACATGTTTTTGAAAGTAAATCCGATACCTTTTTGAATGATTTATGAGCTTTTAGACTCAGTTAAAAGCCAGAAAAAGGCTTTGTTGTTATCTTGAATAGGAATCACATCAGCTATGAAACATGCTCCTTGTACTGAATTTCAATGGAAAATTTTAATATCTTAGGATTCGTCTATAGCTACTAATGTAGCTGATAGCCTATTAAGGTTCGTAATGCCATATAGATGAGTTGCTCAGAGTTAGATCCTTTACATCATTCCTAAATAGCTCCATACTAAATGTTTGCTTTATAATTTCCTATTTCTAGTGCCACATTAAAATGACAAACATGAAAAAAATAATTAATTGAATTCTTGAAGATACACAGAAGCACCAAAATGTCCCCCAAGTGAAAAATGTCCTTACTTGAATGAATTAAACAAACATCTCTCGTACTTTTCTCAGAATTTTTCCGGCAACCTCATTTTCATCCTATTTTTGGTCAACTTTTTCTATTAAAAATCCAATTCAGATTGAAGCACGTGGAGGTTGTCTCCAACAAACAAGCAAGCAAACAAACACACAAGAATATGAATCTTATTCCTTATTTAAATTTTTGAGGGTTCCACAATGGTTGGCTTTAACATTAAATATGGATAAAGTCGATGATTTCATAAAAAGTTCTATTTCTAGGAATGCATTATGCTGAGTTGTTATAAAATTACATTAAAATATTTAAATAACAGAAATTTTCAATTTCGACTTTATTTCTTGTTTTGTATTTTTATTTTATTTTTCTCAGAAAAAGCTTCTGCTGTGAGGATTTAATGTTTCTGATAGAAGAAGTTGAAGTTATTTTTGAAGGTTCTTTTCCTTGTGGATGTGTCAGAAAATGTTAAATTTATGCTCATATTGTTCAGCTTCAGAAAATCGTATTATGTTATCTACTTTAGGAGAGGCTGTTTGGGGATGTCTTTGAGGGGGTACCAACATGATGTGGAAAGTTTGAATGAAAAT